GGTTACAGCCACTGTGCGATAAATGGCGTGGGGGGGGAGCTTTTGCACCTTCGCTACTTCCCATTGTCATGTCTAGCCATCAAGTAGAGATTTGTGGATAAATTGTGGAGATAACTTTTAAACTCTTGTAAAGCAATAAACACTAGGAAGTAACAAAAGTGCAAAATGCCTCGCCCCTCTTGACGCCCCCCCTCCCTCTAAACCGCCTCAAAAGGCAAACGGAAACAAAGAACAAATAAGATTAAAAAAACAAACCTATAGAGAAGAGGGTTAACAGACTAAATGTATTTGGAGCGTGAAAACTGTGGACTGGAAAACTCGTCCGAGCGCTGGGAAACTCGTACGATGTCGGAGATCCAGGGGGTATACTTGAGGCGTTCTCTACCCTTCATGCGTTTTTCCTGCAATTTTCTCCAAGGGCGTGCCACTTTGCCCCTTCTGATTCATGCATTGAGCGCCATATCCGTCATCTTGCCAACGTGCCTTTAAAAATATGAATTGACTGAAGTTATTACTTTTATGTACAAGTAATTTGTGATGACAGTGGGGGACAGTTTTCTAGCTCCTTCTCACCGTGCTCTCTCCTCATGCCTTCAATTATCTGAAATGCATATTGACCCTTGGTGCCTGTAGTCTTTGTGTTTGATTGCGCCATACAAGCACGACCGTCATGTACGGTTTTGTTTGCGCAGTTGGGACTTTTGGCATGAAGGTGTGGACTCGGAGGAGGGGGGGGGGACTCAGAGTTAATAAGAAACGTTCAGAGGGAAAGCTGTTCAGCTATTTTAGCGAATGCTATGTTGCTGTGGAGTCATATTTAACCTTTACTTAATACGCTTTAACCTCAGGAATACCAAGTGGCGTATGTGGTGGTGAAGATGGGCAACGCTCCCCGTCCAGGCACGTGGGTTCTGGAAAAATCCCTCGATGGCATCCATTATGAACCATGGCAGTACTATGCAACATCCGATGCCGAATGTATGCGCCAGTTTGGAATACCGGCTACCACTGGAGTTCCTCGGTTCGAACGTGACGACGAGGTAGGTGTCCTGGGCTTAGAGTGCCCGCAGCTGTCGCGAGCTGGACCAGATCCTCTGGCATCGCATTTATATCTAGAGAGTCGATTACATCCTTGTCTCAGGTCCACTGTACGAGTGAGTACTCGAAAATCACCCCACTTGAAGGTGGTGAGATCCACACATCGCTCGTCAACGGTCGACCTGGTGTTGAGAAACCGTCCTTGGAACTGCAGGTAACACCCTAGGCGGCGTTCATACTATCCGCTCGAGCGAATCCTAAAGCGAACGACTGCGACCTAGCGCGCTCCACTGCTAATCGTTGGAACGATGTAACTTAATCCGATTGAACTTGGGATCAGCCTTCTTTCTGAGCGTCTCCACTGTCCACTTACAGGCAGCGTTCAGACTTCGCGACGGCAGCGCTTCGGTCGCGCGTTCGACGCGATCGATGCAGTCGAAAGCATGCGCATCGATCGCGTCGAACGCGCGACCGAAGCGCTGCCGTCGCGAAGTCTGAACGCGGCCAAAACTAGTCAAGCGCGGTCGGTTACAGTCGCGCGTTAGGAAATCGCAAATGTCGTGAAGTATAAACGCGCTCTATAACGAGATTGATAGTTATCGATGGCTACTTACCGTGATGTTCCCAGAAATTCACTCGTGCTCGATTTGTTCGGCTACGTTTGATATCACCTCGTACACTGAATGCTGACCTAATGGTCATCAATCGTCAAACACATCGAATCGATAGATCCGTGACCATGAGGTAATCAATAATCGATCAGCAGTTGCCTTAGGTCATTTCTCAAGAGTATGTGACAAGAGAATCGTAATTCGCCGCGCTGGTGGGCGTCGCGTGCGACGTCGCGCCCGCAAATGACGATGGTTCCAGGTAGTAGATGGCGACAACAGGCAAAAAAAATAGTCATGAATGTCTACGATGACGAAGTCTAATGAAGTCCGATACTCCAATCGACAAGTTAACGCGAGTTAGGAAAACGCCGCGCTCATCGCCGCGCGCTGCAAGGCGGCAAATTGCGATTCTCTTGCCCGTCCCCCATTTTTCAAATTACTAAATAATACTTGAAGGTACTACTACTCGATATCGGATATATCCATTGGTGGGCAATGTATCTGTTATGGCCACGCGGAGAGCTGCCCAAGTGATCCAGTCACAGGGGTGAGTGGGCGATATTAGCGATGAATCTTCAGCAGGTCAAAACGATTACTTATTGATTTCTCAGCAATTCAAATGCGAATGTCGTCATAATACTTGTGGAGAGTCGTGCAATAGATGCTGCCCACTGTTCAACCAACTACAGTGGAAACCAGGAACCCACGATCATCCCAACGCTTGTCAGCGTGAGTTTTCAACGGATTGCCGTTTTTCCCCATGAAACGACCATTCAGTGATGATCAAGAGGGAAGACAAGACATAGATAGAGAAAAAAACTTAAAGACACATTCCGTGATAACACTTTTCGTAGTCATTTCCTCGTGTACAACAATGAGCAAGCCCGGAGTCACGGGGGTAAGTGGGCGGTATAAGCCATGACTTCGATTGATCAATGTCGATATTTTATTGATTGTACGCCATCTTGCCACTCGAAACAGCGTCGTAAGAATGCTATAGGCTCATGGTTTGGCGCCCTCTTCAGTCTGGCTCCACCCATAATATATGGACAGGGTACAGCGTCGTCATGTGTGAGGCGGTGGTGTGGGTACGACTCCCCTCCCCCCTCCCCTTCCCCAACACCTACTCAAATTGCCCCCGTTTTCCAGTCTTTTCACGCAAAGATTTTCCGTCGAGCGCCGGGCGGATGGGGGGGGGGGAGGAGTCGTACCCACACCACCACCTCACACATGACGATGCTGTACCCTGTTCATATATTATGGGTGGAGCCAGACTGAAGAGGGCGCCAAACCATGAGCCTATAGCATTCTTACGACGCTGTTTCGAGTGGCAAGATGGCGTACAATCAATAAACTATCGATATTGATCAATCGAAGATCATGGCTTATACCGCCCACTCACCCCCGTGACTCCGGGCTTGCTCATTGTTGTACACGAGGGGAAATTTCCAACAGTGTTATCAAATATTTTTCCCAGTGCACCAAATTGCTCTTAAGGCACATACCACTCATTCTCTCCCCACACGACCAATACGACCCCCTCCTATCCCCAGAGAAAAGTACGCCCCCTCCCCTATGTGTTTCACACAACGAGCTCGTAACGCCTGGCATCGCTAACACTAAAAGCAATGGAGCCTCATATCGGTGATGGGGGGGGGCGGTAGGTACGGTGTGCTGTTTCTGGTTTCGTTTCTTTACGGAGTTTGGTGCAACGTAGCACATCACAGATCTATATTGAAGCCCACCATCTGCGAGTCTTGCGATTGCGATGTGTCTACCATGAATCGGCTCTAGTACGCACTGCTGTTCTTGCCTTCATTTGTTCACGATCTCGTGGCTGCTCAGATTGGGAGAGGGGGGGGGGAGAGAGTGGAAGCGGGAGGGGGGCTGGGTGGAAATCCGGCGCCAACTTCTGCCTAGTTTCTTTTGTGAGGTCATGTTGAGAAACTGTAAGCTCTCCTGTGAAGCTGAAAAAAGGTGCGAGCGAACCACTTTCGTCGCAGGAGTTTACAGGTTTTCAGTATGTGGAGTGTACAAACTTAGCTGAGTACCGTTCGATACCCCCAACAAGCCGGTTGCTTCAAAACCCGCACCCAGCCTCATCCCCCCCCCCCCTTTCTCGGATAAGTAATTCATTCGTTAGAACTTCAAAGAAAAAATCATTAAGTCTGCGCCAGTGATCATGATATTTACATTGCAAGAACGTGCCTACCATTGGGAGGACCACTGGTCCACCCTCCCATGCGAAACTGACCCGCTCATGTGAAAAGAGCGTGTACCATAAGGGCCTTTGATCTAGGACATCCACATTGTAAGCATCCACCGGCTTTCGACCCTCCAATGAATCTTTGGCATATTGTGAGCTTCTGTCTAGGATATTACTGTAGCCGAACCAAGATGATACAACAGTTTTATTTGGCTTACGTTTCGGCCTTATCGCCTTCGTCAGAGCCTGGAAAAATCAAAGATCAGGGTGAAACTATCCCTCAAACATCATTTCAAACCTCAGGTAAGTTCACCCCAGACCAGAAGGGTCCAGAAACCTGTCATAGGTTACAACCACAACATGACTCACCTTGAATGTACGGCAGGTTTTTGTTCGAGACCACCGCTAAACTGACTCCCCATGGGTGGGTTCAGCTGACCTAACCCCACGACCTGAAGCCGATGGCAACTGAAGCCCACACAGGTCAGCAAACGGGGCGAGCTCGTTTGTGATGGCTAGGCATTCGTCCTTCTTGTTCATTTTGGGGTTTTTAGCGCTTATCCAAAACGCTTCCAAAGTTTTGCGTGCCCGAAGTCTGGGGTTGCTCGCATCAAAAATTCTGACAGTTATGCTCGAGACTCACCCATCCCACGATTGATTTTTCCGATTTCTGTTTCACTAATTTTCAGAGTGCCAGTGTTTCAATCACGCCGATTCGTGTGTCTATGATGAGGAGCTTGATCGCAACAAATGGTCTATCACACCTGAAGGAGTCTACGAGGGTGGAGGACGCTGTGTAGATTGCAAGGTAGGAACTCTCACACTGCTAGGATCCGCTTTCTGAGCATTGGTGCCAGTTACAGCCGGCAGGCAGTTCACCGAATATGACCGGTGGTTTACGGGTGACTTGGTCGTGCTTGGTCGTGAGGTTCACGTTGAACCTTTGCAAATGACGTCGCTTGCGCGGTATTCGCATAAGGACCTAAGTGGTCCAATGTGGAAATGCTACACTGCGTCACGTCAACTAG